CAAGAAGTTGGTCCAAAAAAAAAAAAAAAAAAGCAGCCCAGCAGAAATACAGAATTTTTTCTTCAGCTTGCTTTGACTTCTGAAGAAACTACACAGACTTGTGCAATATCATCATACTCATAGGTTCTCTTCAAAAATGTGTCTGTAAGTCTTAAGCCAGAGACACTCTAGAAAGGGAAAATATTTGAGTTATTAGAAAGAAGTACTAAGCTTATAAAATAGCTATTTTATAACAAAACTATGCTACAAAGACTTACTTGCAATCCCTGCACAGAAGACAGCAGTGTAAGTGCAAGATGGAGGGAGGAACTTGGGTGCAGCTTTCCAAGTTGCCTTCCTGAAACTCCACACCAGTGGATGGAATTAGTGTTGCACATTTCTAAAACCAGGTCCATAGTCCTTTCACTGCTGGAGGAAATTGAAAAACAAAAATAAACCCGTGGGCTTTTTTTAAGCATTCAAGGACTGCAGACATGTAAAAGCTTGATTATTATTCAGGTTACTGTTAATCAAGTGTTGATAAATAATTTTAAGAAGGCAAGCAAGATTTGCTGTGATGCATGGTAATTCAGTTGCATATAGCTTGGTCAGAGACAAGTGTCCTGTCATGGGTTTAGCAATACGGGATAGCATAATACTGCTCACATTTTGGATGGAGTACAAGATTTTCATGAGAAGTATCTGCAGACCAGATACATGCTTTAGTCCCTGGCTTCAACTTCTATTTAGAATTACTTCAGTTAAATGTCACTCTTGCAGTCCTTTTATAAAGGGCTACCGTAGATCCTGGTGTAAACACAAATCAAGTCAAAACATGGGTAAAGATGTACAAAAGACTACGGTGACAATGTTTAGCAGGCATTGTAGCAGTGGTGCAGAACTGGCAGTAAAATCAGACTGGATACAAACGGCATCATTTACTCATTAGTTCATTTATTCATTAGTTCAGTTAAAAAAATATAAGTGATTTAAGTATGGGATGCAATCTTAGATGATATTGAAGGCAGTTCCATGTAATTCCACTACAGATTTTTGGCAATCTCCTAGTTCAAACAATATTAGCAGATCATGATGGACTTTTTTTTTTTTGTTTCTTTTTTTTTTTTTTTTTTTTTTTTTTTTTTTTTTGTTTCTTTGGGGTTTTTTGCAATCATTGTAATCCAAAAAGATGTGTTTCAAGTAGTTTCATGTTGATACAACACCTAGTAAAGACCAGGTTTGAGTTGTTTCAGGAGAAAGTATTGAAAAATGAAACAGACAACCACAACTTACCCACTCACAGGAAAAAGCACAAGAATCACATGACATCGTTACCTGCAATTTGTTATTTTACATGTAATGTCAAAAGGTTCTTCCAAATTTACGGTGTCTGGTATTGTCTCCAAAGAAAGCCTTACATCGCCATAACCAGGAGCCTGAGAAGGTACAAGAATGTATATTTGCAGATGCTGGATAGTAAAGCTGATGTTCTTACTACTCAAGTTTTCATTTACTGCAACAAGCTTGAAATAAGAGGAATTTGAATAAAGATTGACTCTTCGTGCTTTCGATTTGCACCCAAATCACAGCAGTGCTCCATCCACTACCCATGACCACCTTCTTGATAGGTTTAGCAATTCATTAGAAAGGATGATCTTTATTACTAAGTTTTCCAGATGGTTCACATCCTTAAAGTTTGAATACCCATATATAGTTCCTGAGGAGATCAGCTTTATTCTAAGACCCCTCTGTTAGGCAGATAACAGATAACACTATGGACAACATAAGTATATTTTTCCTGCATAAACCCACCGCTATTCCACATCCTAAGAAATAAAAGATTGTTCATTCTCCTTGCTATTTCAGTCCTCCAAGCCTCTGCCAAAATAATTAATTGCCATCAGTTAGAAAGGCACATGACATGAACACTGGTCAACTGTCTAATTCTGTCAAGAACCAAACACATTTCACACAGTCTACTAACAAACCTATGACAAATATCCTAGTTACTACCAACCAGGGCTGATTCAAGATGAAAACCTGCAGATAAAAAGCTTTAGATTTTCAATCCCCACAAATTATAGATGATAAGGGAAGAACAAGGGAAAAATTTGTCCTGCCTGACAAGGCTTAGTTGTGACACATGTTCCAATCCTGCTGATAGAAGGATGCTGTAGTAAAAGTTATATTTACAGCTTGCTTAAAAGATATTCCAGAAGAGGCCCAGAAAGCCAGTTGACTGACAGGCTGGGAAGAAGTTTTAGTCACATACAGTTCATTGCAGACTGAAGACAGATGACATAATAGAAAGCATATTAAATTGGACATCAGAGTGAGCAAAGGGACGTCAAACTGACGGAGAATTCAGACTAGTCGAGCAATGTAAGTTTGGAACCTTTCAAGAGAGAAGTAATTACCCAGCACTGGGAAAAGGCATGCATTTTCGGCTGTATTAGGTGACAGGAAGGAATCTACTGGAAAAATGATACGCAGTTCCCTAAACAATGGGTAGTTTACCGTAACATTAGACTCTTCTTTTAAGAGAGATACATTAAGGAAAAAAAACAACAACAAAGGCAGTATTTTATAGAATAAACTTAGCAGCAATTGACCAAATCAAGACAGGATCAGAGCAGACGAGAAGGCCTAAACCAGTACATAGCTGTTGGCCTCAGCACTGAAATACCTGCAAGAACTGATGGCTAGAGGTAAAGGCCTTACAGTAACACCAAAAGGAGGAACATAGTTTTCATGCAAAAAATGAGGTAATTGCTTAGAGTATGGAATCAACTAGACAATTCCTTGCTTGTGCTACTCAAGAACAATGTTCTTTAACTTTGGACTGGTTCTAGTCTAGTCCTGGATTGAATGCTCATGAGCAGGTGGAGCACCCTTGGCATACTGTGGACATGCATCTGTCTGGTTTAATGTCACCCAAAAAGAACGTAGTTGTGAATTCCAAGACCACTCCACAAAAACAAAACAAAAAACAAAACAAAACAACCCACCCAAATTATGGTATGTGGGGGTGATCCAGGATACTTGTTTAAAAAGTGCGTTCCCGATCTGAACCAAAACAATGACAGAAGGGCACAGTAAAGGTAAAATTCTGGGCCTGTGTGGGAACCAATGATTATAGGGCTAGCAAATGGATTAGCAGGAAAATGATGGAAGGTGAAAGGAGCCTAGAAACAATCTGATAGCACTTAAAAGATGAGAAGACAAGAGGGAGTTGCATGCGGGGGGGGCGCAAAAAAACCAACAAAACAAAACAAACCTGTTTGCTGCTTTTCTAAAGACAGGCGTAGCTCAAAGTTCACAAAATAGCTCATGTTTCTGTTAATCACTAGCACAAAACAATGACGGATGACTAAAACTAATCCCGGAGTATGGAGGTGTGTTAATCACCACTGTGTTTCAAGTGCAATTCTCAAAGGTTCAACAAGAAGGGATGCAGAGTGAGACAATACTGATTTAGAGAGGAAAAAAAAAATCTGTCTTTAAAGAGAAATGATAGGAAAGGTCAGGTGAAAATGAGACAGTTCATTCGTTAAAAAACAAACAACACATTTCAAAGTAACAGGAGTAACTATGTTTAGAAAGAAGGGCAGTTTCTACTTTCCTACAGAATTGCTCGATTTACTAGAAGATGGGGGCAGGGCGTGGGGGGAGAGACAGAAACCCAATTACAAGCTTTCTAAACTCGATTAAGATTTAATTGTCAAAGCTTTTTTACTTCACTCCCATATTACACCATCCTCAATTCAAAAGATCCAAGTCAGGTTTACCCATTAGAGTAGACAGGTTGTGCAGCTGACTTAAGCAAGCCAGTAATTACAACTTGAAATTCATGAACAATTTCTAAATCAACCAGAACAGAATAGATTCAATCAAAACTGTGGACATGAAAGATATTATCCTATACATAAAAATTGTTACCCAAAGCTAAAACGTCAGTGTGAATTACGGAGCAGACTTCTGTGTCAACAGTTAGCATACTTAAAGGCGTTCTTTCGTCAGTACTTTTCAGTTTGTTGCCAAATGGCATCCAAGAAGTTAATTTTATTCTAACCAATATATTTTGCTACATAGGTCACTGGATTCTGGCAGTTCAAGTGCACAATCCATTAAGTTATGTTGTTCAATGCTGTGAAAAAAATAAAGAGGCACACTATGTGCCAGAAAACAAATCCTCAAGAAAACAAAAAATATTGCTATTCATATGACCAAAAGGAACAAGAATGCTTTTGTTCAGCTACAGTCCCTTGGAATAGTGTTTTTTCCACACTTCACTGACCAAATGTATTGAATAACTTTCTCAAATACGTATAGAAACATGTGATTTCAGAATGATGTCCAGAAAGTAAGCATCTTGAACTTCTCCTTCAAGTCATTATTAATTTGTTCACTAGTTGCCTTAAAAATAGATGCTAAGTTAAATTGATGCTCAAGTTAAACTTACCATTCTTTGAAGCTGGCTAGTTTGCAGCCTTCCTCGTTCACCCAGATTAGTTTTCCATACAATGTCCAGTTTACCAATCACTGTTACACCTTTTATTACTCCAGCTTTCTCTGCAAATTCTTGCTTTGGTTTTAGGCAGTATAAGTATTGACGTGTATCCATAGGTTGTAAATAAGTTCTCGAGCCAAAAGTAGACTCACTAAAAGAAAAAAAACATTGGGTCTTAAACAGTTATTTTCAGGAAGACTTAAAAACCTAACCTTTCTTCCCATCCCTCACCAGTCTTACTCTGTGTGTGTGTATTTTATTCATGGCAAAACACATAGAATTTTCTGTTGTTTTCACAACAGAAAACAATTCTAGAATTTATGTAACATCAAGGACCAAGGGGAAAAAAATTATTAATCTGAGCCAGAGAGAACTGAGGTGGAAATCTGCTTTGCTACATTATAATTTATTATATCTGGCATCTTAGCATTTGAACAATGCTGGTAATTTTACTTCTGCTGTTTGGTTCCCTCCCAGTAAATCTCAGTGTCATGAGCCTAAGATTCCCATTCAGGACAAGAATCATTACAGCAGATGCAAACACACTGTAAGACCAATGCTCCACTACACTGCAGGTGAACCCTTCAACAGGCAAGAAGAGAGAATTTTCACTTCAGCCCCCACTGCAGAAGCACCCAAGCATCACCTCCTCCAAAAACCCGAGCAACTGCAAAGTACAAACATCCGAAGTTAACTTCTACCCAGATATCGCAGGCTTTTGTATCCACAAGTTTACTGAACACAGCAGAAAATTCTTCTGGTATTTGGTGTTTTACTAATTGACACTAAATGACATTTATTTCAGCATAATAAATTTTTATATTCTAAGATCCTATAAGGGCATTCCACCAATTCACCTTGACTGATGCCTTGCCAGATCTTGATTAGAACAACTGAAAACAGTTACCAGTCTACCAGAAGGAAGCAGGAAGGACAAGTCAGACGGGTCCTGTAAGGCTAAACATGTACACACAGACCATGTCAGAGCCAGATGTGGGCTAAATTTTACACAGGAGATACTGAAGTAGTATGTTTTTATGTTACCAATTATTTGAGGATTAAGCTGGGGATTTCTCTACTAGGTAGAATTACAAAGTTTTAAGAATAGTTTCTATAAAAAGAAAACTGTAACAGCTTTTCCAGCTGAATACATGACAGGAATTTGAACTTTTTAATCAAGCAAAGAAGTACAATCCTTCCATTACAGACAACTCATGACCTGTAACGCTTATATCTCATGAAATCATAATACAAAGAGTTCCAAAGTCAAATATCCTGAATCTGAACATACCTTTCCCCTGCTGTGTCAACTGTATTCAGTTCTGCAACATTGTACATCATAGATGGCTCCAAAGAAACCTTCTCCATAAACATTGGAGAGGTAGTGATATTCTGAATCTGAGCTTCCAGAAACACTTCATCTGTCTGAAAAAAAAACCAAAAAAAAAACAGAAGTGCAAGTTCATGAAAATGTGATTAGTGTTATTAAAAAGAGTAGACAGTCCTATTGTTAAAAAAAAAGTCACATGTGTTTAGTTCATGCCTGCAAATCAAATTAATTAATGCAAGAAAAAACCTTAATCCCAGTAACAATAGGAGCAAAAGTGTTAGTCAACAGGTATCTTGCCAAACAATGGATGTGGGATAATTTTGCTATGATCTAGCTATTGCTTATTTGTAATGCATCAGATCACCACTTCCCAAGACTTTCATCAACTCAATAGCAACTCAAGTTTTAATCTGTATTATTAAAAAAGAAAAAAAAGAATAAATGGTAAGGAATTGCAGTGCACAACGCCATGCCATGCCAGATTACTAGTGCATCAAGCTGTATAAAAAAATTAAAATAAGTGTGTGTGTTTTTCTTTAACTGAAGTAAAACAGTTCAAGTACATGCTCTGAGATTTCATTATGGTTATGAAACATTGATGTACTGGCTGAAAAGCAAAAACCAGCCTCCTCTCTCACTCAGCTGCATCATGCCAATGGTTACCAATACTATATGCATCCAACAATTTAACTGGTGCTCTACCTTCAAAACATACTATAACACATATCTGTTAAATGAAGCTAATGCCTGAAGATGGTGTATAAGGACCAATTCTAGTACAGGAACGAAAGCTACAGACTGTTAAACCTGAGAAGCTGAAAAAAAAACCAAAACGCAGAACTTAAGGTGTTTTTGCCTCACTGCTTCTGTTGAATTGCAGACCAGTGATGTCACTTTGCAGCTCTAAAATCTCAGGATAGAATAATTACAGAAGGCTCAGTCTGCTGGAGATATGAGCCCCTGCAGAAGTGAAAAACAAAACCAAGAAGTGCCAATTAAAAAAAAAAAAAAAAAAAGGAGATGGGTACCAAATCTGCATTTACAAGCGAGTTATTGATTCAGGCAGTTGGACTAGACGATTGTTGTAGGTCCCTTCCAACTGAAATATTCTATTCTATAAATTTGGTATGAAGCAGTTTAGGTATTTTGTTATGATAAATTTTTTAAAAGTATTTTTATGGGGAAGGTGGAAGGAAGCTTACAGTTTCTTTTTAATCAGTGTAAGTCCCACTTGTAAATTACAAAATGAAAGTGGGACAAAATAGTCAAAATATTTTTAGTCTCAAAAGGCTTTGTGTTAGAAGGAAAAATACAGAATGGTACTGGAACTATGTATTGTGCCCTATAAACATGTTAAACACAAAGCAGATGATAGCATACATATAGTAATGAAAACTGTGCAAGCTCTGTGGGTTACAGACAGACCTCACACTTGCAGAAGGAGCTGGAAATAACTCCAACTAAAACATGGCGCTCAATAATCATTACTGCTACCACCTGACTGCCACTTAAATTGATACTCTTTATATCCCATAAATCCATTGCTCAAAGTGTCCATTTACCCAAATTTTAGTTGTTTTCAATGCAGCAACCACAGGCAGAAATTTAGAAAAAGCTAATTTGAAAGGGAAAAGAAAAAACAAGCAGCATAATGAAAAAGCAAGTTAGTTTTGTGTTATTCCTAAGTTGGTTTAATATTACATGGTTTAAAAAACATATCCTTAAGTACTTCAGAAGAATCCAGTTTATTTTAATACAAGGCACACCTTAAAGTGAAATCGGACTGCAGAATTATCATACTAATTCATCAACTGTTACATGCAGTTAGAAGCTGGAAAGTGCAGTTCCAGCTAGCGAAAGGAAGGAACAACGTCCAACTGCTGCTCTCTCCTCAAACCCACTGTCTCCACCAACCAGACATGAAAAGTTCTGCCACAGCTTACACAAGCAGTGCTGTAGTAAAACCTACATTGCTATGGGTCAAGCAGGAACATTTCAGCAGTGATTTAGTCCCATTTTCAAATAATGTATCTAGTGAAATTTTGGTGAGGTATTTTGCAGGAGGACCCCCACAAGTGAGAGTGTAATAATCAACTTTTAGTTTCAACAATGGGTATTAAAGAAAGAGCTAACCATTTAAATGATTAGCTGCACATATAAAGATGAGAAAACATCAGTTCATGATATGCAGAACAAACATTGCTTTTCCATTATGTTTTTAAAAGAATGTCAACAAGCACAGAGACAGATAGGCAATTAAAAAAAGCATACATATTTATAAAAAAATAAATAAAAATTACCACAGAACTGAGGTCACTCTAATGGGAAAATAAAAAAAGAACACATTAGAGAAATTAGGGTTAAATGTTAAAGAAAAAGGAGGCTAACTTTCAAACAAAATGCATTTCTGCATTTTTTTTGCACCATCTAAACAAGATAGCATTAGTAAGACAGAAACGTAAATAAAAATGGATGCAAACAAAGATGACAACTACATTTCTAATAAGTTATAGCTAGTATGGTTACATGGTTTACTAGCTTTGCTTCAGAACTAATCCGAAGTAGAGCCTAAGGCACACAAGTTACAGGTAAGATATGGTAGAACAAACTGACCCAAAAAAAAGTTAGTTTTTGAGCAAGTTTAAAGTTTGTCCTGAATTTAAATCCATGCAATGGGTTGTATACAAAATGGAAAAACAGTCCTTGTCATTTTACAGATAATTTGAAGTATCCACATATATAAGGTCTCAAAATAAAAATAATGTGGTAATGTGTTCTAGCAAAGCTACAATAGTGCAGCTTATAACAAAATTGGGCATAACATAATCAGGAAAAACTCTTTTTTTAATATCCATCATTCCAAAAACCCAACTTTAATTGCAAACTTTGTTTTCTTAAGTGTCTGCATGTCTCCCTATGCATGCTTGCAGGAACAGAACCTCTTACAGAGCCTTTTCCAAGGCACACCAAAGTCAGTGAGAGACTTTCTATAGACTGGGGCAGGTAATTCAATCTCGGGATTGCAGCAGGTTAGGGCAACAGGGCATGCGTTCTATGCACAAATTTCAGTGATCGACTTGATTTGGATGCTACTGCAATACAAGCAACAAGCAAGAAAATTAAGTTTCAGCATCATTCCTTGTCTTAGGAAAAATGAAGTTATGGATTATAATTTCTAGTAGAAAATCATTTTAGTGACAGACTTTATGAATAGATACCATCACATCTGCAATATTAACGGTAACAGTTTAACTGGTTAGTCAACCTTTAAAGACCTTTAGTTAACTAATAACTAAGTGACACATACCAATTTTTTTTTCTCCCCTGCTCCCAAGGATAACAGTCTTTCTTAATATTCAGGACGAAGGTCTTGGTGCTTTGACAGCAATGTAGTATCACATACAACATCTAACCAAATACTTATTTCTAGGTTTTTTTTAATTTTGACTTGTGTGGTCACAACGCATAGCAGCACTTTATATCTTTCAGAAATGAAATATGAATGGTATTATATCAGTTCGCTAGGCAAATGAAAATTGCTCAGTTAATGTAATCCAAAATCTTAATTATTTTTTTTTCTCAATCATATTGATACTAAGGTAACAGGAGTTGCATAAATTCCTGAACAGGAAGAACAGAAGGCATCAAAGCAGCCTTTTAAAACCTTTACAGGGGAGGGGGGAAACCAAAACCAAAAAACCACAAATACCAGCTCAGACACGAAAGCTTCTCATAGATCTTTATCATGCGGAATTGCTGGCTAATTGAGGAATGGAGTTTATTCTCAAGTCCCTTATCAAGACCAGTCAGTAAAACAATTTTGTAAGAAAATAATACTTTTGATCTATGTAAAAAGTTTGCCCAGAATTTACCTTAAAGATGTTTTTATTTCCATGTGTTAAGTGTTTCAGCACAAAACAAGATTTACAGGTGAAGTATGGAGAGACAGCAATATTTAATTTAAGGTATCTGTCCCTCTTTCCCCACCACGTTTTCTACCTGAAACAATAATATAATCCACACACAAAATGGAGCTTTACTTTGTTCCCAGAGGAATTACCTAGCTTCTTAGGATTACTTTTGTTTTTAAATCACAGCAGGAGACATTTCCATGCATTCTCATTTACGGACAGTACCAGTTCTATAAAGCACTCGACCAGGGGTATGTGCTTACGTTCCAGCCCTACTCAGGTATCTCACACATGGTCAATCTAAGGATTGAAGCCTGTGGCCTAGATACATGTACCAAGATATTTTAGGAAAATGTTTCTCTTTTCCTCTATGCTATATGTAAATCGCTTATGACCTCTGCCTTGATTTATCTTCCCTCTAAATAAATTACAAGCTATGTATTAAATGTCACATAATTTACATGCTATTCATTCACAGCAGAGAGAAAAATCTTTATGGAAAGTTTCCTGCACAGCTCTGAACAAGACAAATCTTTGCATCTGGAATCCTCATTTGTACAGCAGAAATTCTTATCTGTTATTTCTCACTTTTGTTTTCTCTCTTGATACTGTCAGGAAGGGAAAGAAATACACCTTTCACACCTCTAAAGCCATAATCTTGCATGATGAACCCCAGGTGTGACTATGATGAGATAAATAATTAGAATAATAGATTTGGACACACTCTGCTTTTCTACATGCAAACCCATAGCACATATCTGCTTAGTTAAGAATGAACAGGAGAGCAAAATATTTTCTACTTAGCTTAACACAAGTTATTTTTCAAATCGCCAAAATTCAATATATTTTCTTCTCTTCTAACTGACGCTTTGGTCTTTTTTCTCCCATCTGCTATTCACTGCAACATAAAGCACCTACAACTTCACTCTCTCTTAAACTATTTCAAACACACTGTTTAAGAATATTAACAAAGGTTTTCAACCAAATGACTAGCAGTGTAACAGCTGACCATATTTAAGAGGTTATGGAAAAAGTTTAATACTCAAAACGGAAGCTCTCAAAGTACTTTGCAAGTATCAGTCTGAACTTCGTACAAACAATACAGTATACAATGCTCACAAAATTAAGCTACTTGCTCACTACCACAAAGCAGGTAAGTGATAGAAACAAATGTCCTAATTTCCTATGTAAAGAGATACTGTGGTAGTTTATACCCTACAACAGACCTATATAGTACATATATCCACAGGAAATGTCTACAAATAAAAAGAATGCTGTACTTAATTTGTAAGAGTTTCCACTATCTGTGTCACCTTCAGGTAAATTTTTTCCCCAAAATAGGCAAAGACAGACGCCTAAGTATGTCCAAATAAATATACAAGGCATATATAAGGTCATTTAGTTTTGAAGCAACATGTATAACTGCCACAAACCTAAAAATTTGAATTTAAATTTCCCCAAAGTAAATATGACTCCTCTGTTCAGTAATTTAAATTTAATTTTCCCCAACCTGGTAAATTATTATCTGCTTTGTGAACAATTAATCTCCCTGACAGTAAGTACTCTATCACCTAAATATACAAGCAATAACTGAAAGCATTTGAGTTCATGGAAAAACGGAAAATATGCAAAATCGTGAGTCAATTGCATTAAGGTCTTGACATGTCTGCCTTAGTTACCATCCCTTTCCTGCTTCATCAAAAGTATATCTATTTTTAAACTAAATGATATAAACCCACCACCTAATTTTTTCCCTTTAGAACTGGTCATCTTTCTCAGAAACATGTCTCCCTAAGAAGCTCTTTGAATTTAATCTAACCACCTAATGCCAAGTAATAAACCTAGCACACCAAAAAAACCCCACATACACACAGTTCTCACTTACCTCAGCATTGTAGAATTTGGTTTTCACATCTAGTGGTTTAAGAACCTGAATGAAATGGAAAAAAAGGCAGATTGACAATTGGTTTCTCAGACGACTTCAGCATAAACTGTTTAGAAGTGCTAGGATCTTTACTGATAACTAAGTGTTATTTTTCTTTTTGCTCTTACACAGAACAGGTGCATAATGGAATATATGATACAATCAACTCAGCTAAAACCTCACAATTCAGAGTATATGCTTGCTGCTTCTTATTTGCACACTTAACTGCTTTGCTAATAAGCAGTTTTCTCAGACTGAAAACAAATACTTCTCCACCTAAGCACTGGCCTCTTACAAAGCCAGACAAATCCAATGCACTAGGTAGATCTATGTCTTTAAAATAACATTACATCCATCTTGTATCTTGAAGTGGTCTGCATTTGTTTCAAGAGCGAGCAAAAACCATGTAATATTTACAAGTCCTTCAGTGTTCTGCAGCAAACAAAAGTTTCTGAGGGCTTCTCTAAAAATAAATGAAATAGAGAACTATTCATGTGATTGGCTTAAGCAACAAACCATTACGAGGCTTCACTTCCTTCTTGAAAATGCAAGTGTTACAAGAAATAAAAAAGCCAATATTATCACTTTAACTGCATGAGATTAAATCAGCAAGAGCAAACAATTTGATGATATAAAAGGTGATAATAAAGTGTTGGTTCTCAAGTGCTTGAATTTTGTGCATAAAGCCACTACAGTTAACACATTAAAATACGAAATGGATATACACTAACGTAACTGAAAGAAGTTATCTTCTATTATACTTGTAAGGAAACAAATTTAAATTATGTTGCTGAAGACATTTCTTTCCCTTTACAGAGGAAAACTTTTCTTTTGTTTACATGTAAGTGTACTGCATCCTGAGAGACCCCTGGAGTTCCAAATTTTTTAGCCCTGAAGAACTCAAGATTAAAAATTAGTCTTCACAGAGATTTTTGCTTTTAACAGGCATAATGTTCAAATCTTTCAAGTAGTCATAACTATCACTCTCTCTAGTAAGAATAAAAAAGTCAAAATTTTACTTTAGGTGTTTGTTGGTTGAGTGTTTTTTCCACCAAATATTTTACTTCAGTGAACTTATTAATTTCCCTAAATGCTGATGTTTTCTCTTTCTCATAAAGTCTTTCCATTCATTCCAGTAAATTTCAAGTGACATTCCAGTAAAAAAAAAATCAAATTATTATTGCAAGGTTCACAACCCCCTATCCCCCCAAAACCAAACAACCACCAAACCCTAGAAAGAATCATTCCTTCTCCATATGAACATAATGGTGTTAATTACGCAGAGAAAGCTTTGGAACAAAAAGGCACTATTGATCAGTATTAAACTACATATAATGGTTGAAAAAGAAGCTGTTTAAAACCAACTGTAACACCAGTTCAACTTAAAAGATCCTAGAAAACATAACTGAAAAACTTGAGAATCTGTCAAAGAGAAAATGGGGTTTTTTGGTTATAAAATAGCTGGTGGCACCTCGACCACTAGCAGCCATCAATTCCCATTGTAAAGACATTGTTTAGTTTTCTGTAACATTTCTTTTTTGTTTGTTCTCAGATTTTCTAGCTGGTGTCTCTGTGTCAAATTTAAAAAAATAATGAGCAGAATTGCTCAGTGAAGTGTTTTTCTCAATGAATCAGAAAGTATTTACAGAATGGTGCTATATATATACTTTCTGAGAAGCTCTTATGCTTCATTCTTTGAAGGAAGAGTTTCAAATTTGACAGATAGCTGGCCTTAGCTATTTTGACATTAAAGTTGCCTGTGTTGGATTCAGTTAAAAAGCAGAGATTACAATATGCATATAGACCCCTGGAAAATGTGCACAAGTAAGTTTCCATATCAAATTTAAACGAGAAAAATTGACATCTTGAACAAAGTCCTGGCAAGAACAAGGGTAGGGAAGGGAGAGAAGATGAGAACTGGAAGCCTGTAGATGTGTACGTTAGTGATCAGAGAAAGCCTAGAGGGGACGGGGGATGGA